TCCCCCAGAACAAGCCATGATGAAGCCAGTGTACGGCCTGTCATTAGAGGAACACCTGAAGCTCACAGAGAGAGACATCGCCCTGCCGCTGGAGGCCTGCGCACTAGCTCTGCTGGAGTGGGGAATGGAGGAAGAGGTGAGTTACTAGTATTGACTTCTGTATAGTACGGATCTCTGTATAGTACACATTCTAAAGTCATTGGTCTTAGAAAACACATTTTGAACCAAGGTTTTCATTGAGCAACAGTCATCAAGACAGACTTTGAATGGAGTTCAAATGTGTGTAAAAAGCTGTGCTAATTGGAAGCAAACATTGACTAGCAGTCAGGTTAAGATTCTACTCAATATGTTCCATAAATTCTGACCTAAACGCTTATATCTTTCCTTATTTTACAGGGGTTGTTTAGAGTAGCAGGTAGTTCCTCTAAGACAAAGAAATTGAAGGTAAGTTAGATGATTTTATTCATTGAGATATGATTGAATGTAAGAGAGCATAGATGATGATAAAATGGTCTCTGAATTTTTGGATTTTGTTTGTGCCCTTATTGTTGTTAGAATGAACCAAATGTTTTTGTTGTTTGTTAGGCTGCTTTAGATTCGGGTATCATCACTGGGCTGGCTGACTTGGAGGAGTATGCACAGGATGTCCACTCAATATCTGGTGAGGGAAAAGTGTTAGAATTGCTTTACTTGAAGTTACAGTTACTGTACCATTTTTGCAAACACAGTCTCGTATGGAGTTGCCTTGCAATATACTTACAAAGATATACAAAATTTGTGTAGAGCTGGAGTTCAAAGGTAAAGTATCAACAGTGTGAAGTACAGGGCTAATTATTGATTCTACTAAAGTCCAAAAAGATTATCTTTCAAGGATGCTGATAATGGGCACTGATATGTCTTGCAGTTCTATTGAGAGTTGATAGGTGGTGCCTGTGTACTGTCAAAAGCCATGTACTAGTAACTACATTGTAGTTTATCTGTTGTTGGTCAGGTGCACTAAAGTTGTACTTGAGAGAGCTGCCTGAGCCGTTGATGACCTTTGACTTATTCCAGGACTGGATGGAAGCAGGAAGGTCAGTGAAGTCACAAAATCTTTTCCGATTCCATTTAGTCTACATTTGTATATAATGCAGGAGTTCATGTTTTTCATGTATGACATTGACAAAGTGTTGTCCTGTAAATTTTTTCATGTGCCTGTGCAGTACTCAAGACCCACAGGTAAAACTACAGGCACTATGGAGTGTGTGCGACAGACTGCCCAAGCAGAACTACAACAACTTTAGGTGAGCACTTCTGGCTTTCAAGTGATGAACATTTCATTGTACAAAAGAAGTGTCTTCTTTATCAAGTTAGCTTATTCTTGGCATTGTATTTAGTTTCATTTAGTTCAACCATATACTTAACATATAGTTTTAGTGTAAGGGTATGTCAAGGTCAAAGACGAAGACATGGTAGCTTAGTGACCTCGGTCTCGATGGGTGACCCTTACAAGTTCGTAAGATGGCCGCAGATGTTGTAGATGTACGTACCCGGAACAAATGACACAGGAGCCAGAGCTACATAGTGACGTGACTGTATTCTCTCCTCTCACCAATACTCTCTCCGATACTGATCTGACTACATGGTTACATGGCTTTTTATACTCTTAGCCGCCTACACATACATTTCTTGGAAAAAGTGCATCATACTTCCTGTATCCGTCATGTTGAATCACTTCCTTAGACATTAGTGGAAAATCCCTGACCATTACCAAATAAGGCAACGTCCAGACACTGGGACTCTAGGACCCCCTACCTTCAGGACCACATTAGTTCTTCTTGGGTCATTAACTAGCTGTCAGTCAAAGGTCTCTTACATTTCTCAGAACAGAGGAAAATGATCCAATACAAGAACACGAAAAAGGGGTTTTTCAACCTACTGTACAAGAAACGTATATAACCTACGATACTTATTATTATTAATATACTACAGGCTAGGGCACCCTATTACATTAGCAACTATACCTCATTGATATTTGTAACCAAGCAGTACTAAGAATGATATTTCTTTATCATCATTTCCTTCCACAGATACTTGATAAAATTCCTGGCTACCATCTCGGCCAACTCGGAAGTTAACAAGATGAGTGCGAGCAATCTCGCTCTGGTGTTGGCACCGAATCTCATCTGGTCACGAGAAGAAGGAGGGTAAGCACTGGAGACTCTTTTTTTGTGTCAACTTCTTCCAGTTGTTGACTGGATTACAAAATTAGAAGTGGAGTTTGTAATGCTATGGAAAGGAAAGCAGGGTCAGTTTTATATTTAGATTTTGTTACAAAGAACACAAATAGTATTCTTAGAATAAATTCATGCACTGCTTTAAATACATCTGAGAAGCCATGTACATAAAAAAAAACATTATATAATACTGTAACATAAATTGTAAGGTGTGGTGTCAACTGTTTTACACTGAAACTTTACAGTTGTAAGGTCACTTGCTGTCTCCCTGAATCTTTTTCTGTTTTTCACATATGGAAGCTGCGTAATATCTTTTTTACTTTCTATTTCTGTGATCTGATTTTATGTTTGAGTTTGATAGGTCTGTCCTATACACACTTAATATGTATGGCTTGTATCAATAATCTGGTACATTTATTTCACTGATAGCATTCTCCATTACATTTAAAGGTGCAATCACTATGTAGTGAATTCATGTTAATCACAGGATTGTACCTTTTCAGCATCTGAGAATTTCATGACTCTTGAAGATGTTGTTCCACAGATTTTTTTTTATTTGAAAGAAACTGTTTCAATTTGAAGTGAAAACCAGTAAAATCTCACCATGCAACTACAGCAATTACTGATATGGCATGTTTGGAACTGTTTATGGTAATTAGGATATACTGCTATGTGATTGGTCCAGTCCTGGCCAATCAGGATGCTTGATCTATGGTACTTCATCTTTCTTGTATGCTGAGCATGACAGAACCCTTATAATTCCACACTCCACTACTGTCCACAACTGAACCTTTCTTTTTCTCACCAGCAATGGTATGGAAGATGCAGCGTAAGTTGACCCACGACTTTTGACCTTTACATGTGGTGGGGTTCAAAGGGCATGTTGTGGTGGGGTTCAAAGGGCATGTTGTGATGGGGTTCAAAGGGCATGTTGTGATGCATGATGGTGCAATTGTGTTCCTGTGGGAACATAAATAATGAAGGGTATTATTTTTAGCTACTTGTATGGATGAAATCTTTATTTGAACCATTTTGCTTCTTGTTGCTACCTAAAAGATATGGAAGCAAAGAGGACTACATCCATACATTATAACTTTAATACCCAAACATACATGTATAAATGTATATACGTAGTAGTAGTAGTAGTACTAGCAGTGTGCTTAGCCTAATAGTAGTTGAGGTGGTGTGTGGCAAATGGCTTGTTTTGGGGTGTGAACAATGCATTGGAGCTGCAAGTTGCATGACTATCCCTATGGTAAATGTGACTAAAACTGCCTTTGAAACCTTGACATGGTTCTAATGCCTTTTCTTGTTTGTCTGTAGTTATTGCCTTTGAATGTGTGTGTTACCATAGTTATCTTTCCCAATGTCAAAGCAATGGAAATTTGGATTTACAATCTATCCTGGCATTTACAGGGTCAATGTATTTACTGGGGCCAATGTTAAGGGATTACTTTCTCATACCAGTGTCAAGAATACTATTGCCATTCTAGATGAATTGAAGATGACAATTGTTGGTACTGGTTCAACATACTGTTGACACTATGATGAAGATGACACATCATAATGTTGATATAGTTAGTTTTGAGATAAGTCAATTGCTTTAAATTACAAAACCATGAACAAATATCTGCTTAATATATAGAACATTTCACATGCGACTGATATTGGTAATGCTGTGTTTGGCTTGTAAAAGTACATGTAGGTGTAAACTACTTGCTGATGGAATTATTCCCTGTTGTAGACTTGGTGTGATGGTGACAGGCGTGGCCTCCATGATTGTACAGACCATCATCCAGCATGCTGATTGGTTCTTCCCTGGAGGTGAGGTCAAGGTTAAATGGTTACCATGGTGATGACAGAAATCGTGGTCATAGTAACAGACTTTCAAGTTTGGATCTGTTACCCAAATGGTGGTCTGAATTTGTAAATAATTCCATTGGGTTGCTGAATGATTTGATATCAAAGTTCTTTGTTCACAAACACTTGTTTACAAGAGCCATGAACCAAGTGGTTGTGAATAAAGACCTTTGATATTCGATAGTCTGAATTGAATGAATTGGAAGATATTATTTATGTGTATCTCATAAATAGGTTTCTTCTTGACAGTAATTTTTTTATTATGAAAGTATTTTTTTCAGAATGTTGATCAACTGTGAAGCTAGAGTTGATCTAGAGGTTGAAAAAACTTGAGTATTTTAGATTTTGAAGTACATGTAACTTTATGTTCCTGAAAAATGTAGATTGGATGCATTGAAACGTATTTTTGTGTTCGTCTCCAGAGTTTGATTTCCAGCCGTCGACACCAGGCAGCGCGGGCAGCACGCCCCAGGGTTCCAGCACGATGCTGTCCGCCGTGGGGGACAGCGCGGAACCCGTGAACGGCAGCGGGGACCACAGCCCGCTGGCCGACAAACACGCGGCACACACGGAGAGCACGCAACACGAAGTCACACAATCAGAGGGGTAAGTCTCACAACACACGTACAGGGGAAAAGATTCTCTTCTCTCTAACAAAATTAACACGAGGCTTTTGCAGCTGTCAATCAAGCAGCTTACTAATGAATTTTTTTCTGGAAAGGGCAGTTGTCTTTGTAGTAGCTGTATACCTTCTTATGCAGTTATTTGTTTTTGATGATCAGATTTTGAACCTAAAAATGTTCAAAACGTGATAGTTCAAAACTTGTATAGACGTCTGACCCAACCTGAGTACTTACTTACTGTCTATCTTACCTTATTGTTCCCATGCCAACCCCCTTCTTTAATGGAAAGGTATGTACCAAGGTCAGTGTACGAAACTGCCGTTTAGAACTGCCCCTTTCTACAACAGCTCACTGCATAAGGCTAAGCTATGCCTGCTGTCCTAACACATAAGGAACCTACCCATCATTCCAACATTCTTTGCTGTTGCCACAGTTTCTGTTGCGACATCAGATCTTTCTCCCTCATCTTTGTTGGAAAACGAATCATATTTCAGCTCATTTACCTTGTTTACATACACCTTGGCCTATCCAGACGTCACGCCCCCCTCCCCATATCATATTTTGCATGTGGTGTGTTGTATGGCAATCTCGGCATTTTTGCATGGTGTGTTCTCTTCTTCTCTCCTCTTCTCATCTGTAGTAAAAGAAGTAGTGGCATATGGAACAAGATTGGGAATAGGAAGGCCTCCTCACTAAAGAAACCAAACTCCCCACCACCCCAAACACCTAGCTCCTTCCCGACGCGGAAGAATACCTCTTCAGTTACTACCGCACTCTGAATGATCCGTGGTGGTGGGTTGAGGTATGTTTGCTGCCACTTGCATGCCAAGCCAGACACAAGGCATTAAACAATGGACTCTAAACATATCTAGCATGCTTTTACTGTTCAAGCATGGGAAATTAAAGATTGCTTGTTTTGTGCTTGCGTTGCATGCCACTGTTAGGTCGCCTTGAACACAGAAGAAAATGTTAACCTTTTTGACAAATAAAGTNGGTCAATAAATTAATAAATATGCAACTGAGGATCTTTAATATGCACAGTCAATGAAAGACAATTTAGATTTTACAATTTGCAAGTCGCAAATGTTGAAATAATTTGGTGAAGGCATGAGGTCGTGGTACTCTGAGTTTGTTAAAAAAAACCCTGACCTTTCTGATCTCCTCTTCTATCAGTTGTTCCTCGTAAGAGTAAGCCTTGTTCTCTCGTCTGATGTTCCCCTTGCTGCTTTCTTGTAAAGTTGCACTACAAAGAAATGAAACATTGAAATTAACATTAAAAAGATCATGACTATTGTATTATATAATGTTAACTGAATAACGAGAAATTCTTAAACCATGAAAGAAGGATGGTGAATGGATGGTGATGTAATTTACATGTATATCATTTGTCACGGCTATTCCGAGATCAGGGTGCGCCAATGGCATCGTACATCGTTATGTCAATCTTACTCTGTATTTATCGCATTCTGTTGACATTTATCAAACTTGTTATACTAGTACAGTTATTTTCCAGACAATCAGGAAGAGATTTGGTGTTAAGATGTTTAAAACTTATGCTATGGCCAATTTAAGACCAGAAATTGGCATAAAATCTACGTTATGCTGTTGCACTTGAAAAATGCCAGTTTTTGAAATGTGCTTTTAAGTAATTTGGGAACAAAAAAATGGAATGAAAAGATTTGCAATATGTTCAGACATGCTCAGTCTGATATTTTTTGCAAAAAACCTGATGATGATTGGAAATTTCTCTTTTCTAGAGCGCATTTATCAATATGTTGTACACGTTATGTAAAATTCATAAATTAACACATTGCAATTAACTTATCTCCCTGTACTAAAAGGGATGGTGATAGAACTGGCCATTTTGCATGTTATGCAAGGTACATCCATATATGACACAAAACATGTGTTTTTATGTTGCTTGTCCTTTGGGTTAATATGGCTGATGGCTTACAGTTACCTGTCTTTTTTGTCCGAGAAAATGTGTAGTGTCCGTTGCTCGGTAATAACTTAAAATAGAAAAGCTGTGGGTGCATATGATTTCAGGTTCTGAAACAGCTGAAGATGCTGACTTAAAACATAGTAGCTATTTCAGTCTATTGCTGTAATTATATGAAATAATGTCAAAAAACCTCAAGGGTGTAGTGTCCGTTGCCATGTAGTGTCCGTTGCCAAGTATACCATGTAGGTACATAAATTTACATTTTGTTGCAATTTTGAAGTAATTTTGTCATTTATGTTACTTCTGTAGCATTTTGTCAACCCCTAAATGACAGGTCTTGCAAGATTTGGTGTTCTTGTCATGTACTTGAGTGGCCAGATGTGGCCGGCAACGGACACTACAGCTTACTACAGCTTAGCTGTAGTGTCCGTTGCCGGCCACATCTGAAATGAGTGGGCTAAGTTTGGAAGAGCACAACTTTTGAACCAAACGTCTCTATCCAAAAATTTAAAAAGTGCAATGTATGGCAACACCTCTAGTGCGATTTTCTGCACTGAAAGTAGAAAAATATAAAACTTGAAAAATTGGCCCAAGTGCAACCCTTTGGCGCACCCTGATCTCGGAATAGCCGATAGTTATCTTTCCCAGTGTCAAAGCAATGGAAATTGGGCTTTACAATCTATCCTGGCATTTGCAGGGTTAATGTATTTACTTATCTGCCAATTTTTAGGGATCACTTTCTCATACCAGTGTCAAGAATACTATGTACCATTCTAGACGAACAACAATTGTTGGTACTGGTACAACATATTGTTAACACTATGATGAAGATGACACATCATAATGTTGACATAATTGGTATTGAGATAAGTCAATTGCTCAAAATCACGAAACCATCAACATATATCTGCTTAATGTATAATAATATTTCACATGCGACTGATATTGGTAATGCTGTGTTTAACTTGTAAAAGTACATGTAGGTGTTAACTTCTTGCTGATGGAATTATTCCCTGTTGTAGACTTGGCGTTATGGTGACAGGCGTGGCCTCCATGATTGTACAGACCATCATCCAGCATGCTGATTGGTTCTTCCCTGGAGGTGAGGTCAAGGTCAAATGGTTACCATTTTGATGACACAAATTGAGGTCATAGTAACAGACTTTCAAGTTTGAATCTGTTACCCAAATGATAGTCTGAATTTGTAAATAATTTCATTGGGTTCCTGAATGATTTGATATCAAAGTTCTTTGTTCACAAACACTTGTTTACAAGAGCCATGAACCAAGTGGTTGTGATATTTGGTAGTCTGAATTGAATGAATTGGAAGATATTATTTATGTGTATCTCATATATAGGTTTCTTCTTGACAGTAATTTTTTTATTATGAAAGAGTATCTTTTTCAGAATGTTGATCAACTGTGAAGCTAGAGTCGATCTAGAGGTTAAAAAAACTTGAGCATTTGAGATTTTGAAGCACATGTAACTTTATGTTCCTGAAAAAATGTAGATTGGATGCATTGAAACGTATTTTTGTGTTCGTTTCCAGAGTTTGATTTCCAGCCGTCGACACCAGGCAGCGCGGGCAGCACGCCCCAGGGTTCTAGCACGATGCTGTCCGCCGTGGGGGACAGCGCGGAACCCGTGAACGGCAGCGGGGACCACAGCCCGCTGGCCGACAAACACGCGGCACACACAGAGAGCACGCAACACGAAGTCACACAATCAGAGGGGTAAGTCTCAATACAGACGTACAGGGGAAAAGATTCTCTTCTCTCTAACAAAATTAACACGAGGCTTTTGCAGCTGTCAATCAAGCAGCTTACTAATGAATTTTTTCCTGGAAAGGGCAGTTGTCTTTGTAGTAGCTGTATACCTTCTTATGCAGTTATTTGTTTTTGATCAGATTTTGAACCTAGTAAAAATGTTCAAAACGTGATAGTTCAAAACTTGTATAAACGTCTGACCCAACCCGAGTACTTACTTACTGTCTATCTTACCTTATTGTTCCCATGCCAACCCCCTTCTTTAATGGAAAGGTATGTACCAAGGTCAGTGTACGAAACTGCCGTTTAGAACTGCCCCTTTCTACAACAGCTCACTGCATAAGGCTAAGCTATGCCTGCTGTCCTAACACATAAGGAACCTACCCATCATTCCAACATTCTTTGCTGTTGCCACAGTTTCTGTTGCGACATCAGATCTTTCTCCCTCATCTTTGTTGAAAAACGAATCATATTTCAGCTCATTTACCTTGTTTACATACACCTTGGCCTATCCAGACGTCACGCCCCCCTCCCCATATCATATTTTGCATGTGGTGTGTTGTATGGCAATCTCGGCATTTTTGCATGGTGTGTTCTCTTCTTCTCTCCTCTTCTCATCTGTAGTAAAAGAAGTAGTGGCATATGGAACAAGATTGGGAATAGGAAGGCCTCCTCACTAAAGAAACCAAACTCCCCACCACCCCAAACACCTAGCTCCTTCCCGACGCGGAAGAATACCTCTTCAGTTACTACCGCACTCTGAATGATCCGTGGTGGTGGGTTGAGGTATGTTTGCTGCCACTTGCATGCCAAGCCAGACACAAGGCATTAAACAATGGTCTCCAAACATATCTAGCATGCTTTTACTGTTCAAGCATGGGAAATTAAAGATTGCTTGTTTTGTGCTTGCGTTGCATGCCATGTTAGGTCGCCTTGAACACAGAAGAAAATGTTAACCTTTTTGACAAATAAAGTTTTGTTTGTTGCTTGCAGCTAAAGGCTTTTTTCTGCAGCCAATCAGTTCATGCCATGGTTAAAGTAATTAACAACATAGCTTGTATATTAGTGATGCCTGCTCTGCCTGCAAAATGCACTACCGGATGATGTAAGGGAGTGCATGTCAAATGTAAAAAAAGAAACAATTACAAATTAAACAATTAAAAAACATTGTTTCACCAACATGCAAACATTTAGAACACAGCTCTTACACAATCAGCATTAGTAACATGCACATTTCTAGAAACCATGTTTATTCCTAATATGCTACTGCTGCTATGGTTTCTTTAAAACATGCTATACAGCTCTCAGAGGCTGTCTACAGTCAAACCTGCAAATAGGTCAACCTATGCAAGACCTGATGTAGATAAGGATGTCACAGTAATATGCCACTATCTTGTCTTGGCCTTGGCATCTTGATGAATGTGTATCCAATCCAAAAAGTTCTAACAAACTACATAGACATGAAAAGGACATATGTGGCAAAGGTAAGAACTGCCATACCATTACATCTCACTAGGGGGCCCCACATGTTTCCGACATATTTCCATTTTACCAGTGGGCAGATTTCATTACATCCATGCTTGACATGCACTGCAGGCAGTCTCTCAGCAGCTGGCGCTCCTCTGCCATGCCCAAGTTTCTGCTCAAAGAACATTACCACTGTTTAACTTTGATGCAAACTTGTCCATAAATCCTATTGCATTTGAATGGTTCATTCCCAAAAATTGGTTTTGTCACTTGGAAGGAAGGTGCAAAAGATATTGGTTGAAAATCTATGACAGTGGTTCATTACAGTAACTATATATGGATCAACTGCATTTTTAAGAGACACTACATGCTGTACCATCCTGGTAATAGCTTTTACATATGCTCCAATGGATGTCATCCTAAATCATAGTGCAAGTTAGTATTGGAGCACATGTAAACATAAGCAGTGTAACAGCTACCCAAACTTGTTAACCGCTCTTACCAAGCAAGCATTTGGTAGGAGTGTTTGAAGAAAAATCAATTCAACATTGTTTGCTTCAATACCTTGGCAAACCAATGACTTTCGTTCTGCTGCAGCAAATTTTCAGCAAATGATTTTTCTTGTCAGACACACAGTAGACCTGTTAACTTGGTTGGTTACTAGCTATGTGCTTTCTGTACGTTTGCATTAATGGAACGATTTTCATGTTGCTTTGTTCCCTCGTGCAGGTTACAAAAGCAGGGCCAATTTGGAGTCCCGACCCAGCCTAGTCCACAAGTTAGCCCTTACGTAAGCCCGCGGGTTAGCCCCACTCTTGGTAGGAAAAAGAAACAGCCTGCCCCCCCTCCCCCTCCTGGTAGAACCCCCGGCCGTGGGTCACCAGGGGCTGCACAGTTACTGGACACCAGCCTCAGCCCGCAACAAGACGCACCCGTCAGTACAGAACTGCCCAAAACCCCGGAGCGGCGAGTCAGTGGGAACACGTCCCGCCCGACCGCCCCCCCTCCCCCCAGGCCACGGGACAAATCAAACTCCAGACATTCTTCCAACACGTCACTCGATAGTGTCCCAGCGACGTCGAGCGTTCCAGAAACGGCAGATGCGGCCGGTGACAAACCGCCGAGTACGCCGGAGAGAGTTCCCCCCACCCCGCCAGGCAAGCCACCCAGACCAGCCCCCGCACGCCCTGATGGCCCTCCCAAGAGACACACCTTGGAACAAATTAAACCTAACCTCGAGCCTGCAAAAGAAGAAAGCATCCCTCCCATCAAAGCACCAGAGAGCCCTCCGCCATCCACAGAACAACTAGAGAAACCCATTGTAGCAAAAAGGCCATCCATGGAGAAGAAAACAGAAATGGGGACAGCGGAAAAAATTCACCCTCCCCCTGTAGCTGATCGACCAAAACGGACTGGGTCCACGGGTACCAAACCCCAGCCAGCCCAACGCTCCATTTCCTGCCCAGGTTCAGGACAAGATAGCGAAGAAGCAAGGCCCAGGCTTAACAGTAAAGAGGAGGTGGCAGCTCTTTAGGTAATGATGAACACAGAACTTAGATAAAACCAAGTGATATGTGGTCTTCTGGTAAAAAGTAATGACTCTGTCTGAAGCTTCATTTTCTGGCTGATATCAAACAGAATCTTTTCAACAGTTCTTACTTTGAGGAGAGGCAGTTGTAGTAATGTTTCCCACTATTCTCAAAACCACACCAGATTGTTTATTGGCTGTGATTGTACGTTCACTGGATTCAAAGCATGTACATAACAGGACATGTCATACATTGTAGGAGTTATCATGTTATTAAGGAGTTATCATGATTTTTACTTAACCCTTTAACATGACTGCCATGTTATGAGGCTACGAAAATCATTTTTATTTTACCAGTAAGGTATTTTATTATCAATATGTATTTGAAGGAGTTGGGGGAATGTCTGTGGTGTCCTGAACAGAACAGAAGGTGCCTTTGTGAGCAGCAATCAGGGAAAAGGATGAGTTTGAGGAAGATGTCATAGCATCTTTTGGTTTATTTCCATTCCATAGTTAAAACACTACCTATTTTGCAACATCATAACAAGAAACACTCAGAAATGGGAAATTTGGTATAAGTCTAGACATGGCTTTACTTCTCAGAACTTAGTACCGTAGATGGAAAGATATTTATTATATTGCTCTTCTACAATTCCCCCTTTTCAAAAAATTGTACTGGTTTACTCAGTTATTGTTTCCTTCAACAACAAAAATGCTAATTTTGCACAAGCATACATATGTATCTCTGTTTTGTGCAATGAAAGGATTTTAGGATGACACTTCATTACTTACTTCGACTGATCCCCTACTCAAAAGTTCAAAGTGACGTCCATGTGCATCAAGGCAGTAATAGTGTATTTGTTTTTATTTTTGGTTTACTTTACATTATTTGTTTACGCTGTTGACGGGAAAGATGGGCATACTTTCAATGATTACACTGAGATTAACAGTTACATCTGGTGTCGTCAAGGGCAAAAAACTCACTGCATTTGCACCTAATGAGCTTCTTTACTATGCAACAGCACTGTATGTATATCCTGCTTTACTTAAGGTATTCTTAGCTTTTTAATAGGGCAAGGGAGTTGTGTCCATAGGGCCTTTTGGTAATGTTAGCAAAAAAGAATTATATTGTATTATTTTGATGGAAAAGTTAGCATATTTGGTATACAGTGTATTTGTACATAAGGCATTAATAGATGTGGTTCAACGTTATTTTGTCATTTCACTGTTTTTGGGGCTCTGCAATTTGGATGAGTTCAGATGATTGGAGGATGTATAGGCTCAGAAAGATGGTGGTTTCTTACTGATACCATGGTTTTCAGTAATCTTTAGTTATTGTGTTCTTAAAAACCCCAAGCATTATAAGCCACTCTCCCCCTTTCATAACTTCCCTTGCGATATTTGTTGAAGAGGATACTAGTATTTGGTACTCATACATGTATGTCTTGTATAAGATTCTTTTGTTAGTTCAGGAACTTTATACAGGTTAAGAGGTTACAAATGGCCTTGACAAATTCTACAATAGATCTTCTTTTGGTTTGTTATTTTATGTGAGGCATATCATGCATTAGAACTTTTGGCTCTTTTAAATCAGTCCAGGAAATCTATTTGAAAGCAGTGATCTTACAGATGTTGCAAGTCGCTTGCACTGCACAGTACCATAGTTAGCCATTTTATGTAGGTAAGATTCATATAATTATAAAATCAAAAGGCCTAGTACAATTTTAAAACCAAGAGGACTTAATTTGTAATTCTTATGATTTTTTAAAGCTATGTAAATCAGAGGAAGTAGTGGGGTTTTTTTGCATCATCTGTATGGAACAATATAAATAGATTTAGCAGAAACCAGTTTTTCTTTTATGTTTAAAAATGTAAGAAAATTCTGTAACAAATGTTTTTGAAAAAAATGCAGTGATATTGCCATGCTCTGTACTCGTGATTTTATACTTGAGCCACAAGAAAATCATAGGACTAACATGTATTGTATGATTGTATTTTGCATACATTGTGATGACGTACTGTAACTGTATATGCCCCTGTGCCATGCATAGCGGTTAACCATTGCAATGAATATTTCTATACAACATGGGCATAACAAAAATGTAGCAAGTTTCTTTTTGATGCAGGCTCAGAGAAATAAATAGGTAAGAATCTAAAGATACAATAAAGCAAATCAACAATATTGGTTTGAATTTGAGGATTCCTTCATGTTTTGTTTTGTTTTATGTGTAAGAGAATATAAGGGTGATCGTCCCCTATAATATTGATATTCTGGTGACTTTGGCGCTCTGAACCTCCTGACGTGTTCATAGGGCCCATGGATTTGACCTTTAGCCCCGGGTATTCCAATAAAAATGAGGGGACCAATAAAAAATTACTGAATCTCGAAAAAATCGGTTACTGGTTACCAAAATCTTCACGATATTAGGATATGTCGTTCTTTGTTGATGTTTTGGGTGCGAATCTAATTTCCTGCACATATGTACGTAGTAAATATTTCACTGAACACACCCCGTAAACGTATGGTCCAGTCCATATCAAAGATGGCGGAAAACTTGAATTTTGATCAGGAAAACAATGCCTCCGATTTCATTCAACGTCATTTCTCCTCCACAGAGGTAAATGGAACAGTGTTGCTGCGTTTGTAGACATCTCTTCTTGTGCTGACACAGCGAAACCTCGTTTAGGCGCTTGTCTTTTGCTGTAAGGCTGACAAACATAGGATGTTTACCAGTTGAGACAGCGCACGCCCCAAACCCAGGGATACGTCACAACACAAGGACACGTCATGCAAGCTGTGCTTTCTCTATTTAGCTCTGTGACTCAAAAATTATGCGTTTCTTCGATGTTAGTTTCATATGAAGCCAGAAGTCTTGCTCTTGTAACCCGTTCGCGCATAGCTACATGTAGCGACGGCTAGCCATCTTGCTTGGGCGTGGTAAAACAAAGCAGCAGAGATGTTCCTTATTCCGGAGCTGAGCTCGGAGCCGTTCCAGATTTTCCTGTGGATCGCCTACATCTTCGCCGTGACGGTCGTGGTCACCGTGTTACGGTCCCGGCGTAAGCTGGACCTGCCCGTGAGAGACGTCACCAAGGGGCACCGGTGGTACGAGGTGGAGATCTTCCCTCGCCCGACATTTTGCAGGTGCGGCTCGTTTTCTGATTAGACTGGGTACCATCCGTTTTGTAACGGGGCTCCGGGTCCTCGCACTCACTAACCCCAGAAACAGATGGCTCCCAGGCTACGTTTTGGTATTCTAGATTTGCACGTGTCAGAGCTACGGTAGGTCTTTAATAGACTGAACGTGATGTGCGTTTTAATACTAGGGTTTTACATGATGGTGTGACGTTACATGTTAAGTAGGTAAGTTAGGTCAATTATGTATATACAGTCAACCATGGAGGTGTTAGGAGTAGATATGGGTATCTTGCGTATTCTTGTTTTTTTATATGTATTACTATGTATTCGCTTCGCATGTCCGCTAGCGACTTTTTGTGTCCTCGTTTCGACGCAGTATGATTTGTTTACATTTGTTTATGTACCAGTTTTGTTGTTTTTTCGATAGAGTTGTTTTGATCCGTGCTTACTCACTGTATCTCCGTCCGGAAGTAATTAGCTCGAACCCAACACACTAGCTCCCAGCATGATATGCCCCGTCTACTCTTGTTGTTGTTATTGTTTTGTTTCCCGCTGCGGAGTCGGGGACGACTCCTTTTGTAAGGGGGGGCCAATGTTAGGAGTAGATATGGGAGTAGATAAGACTGTGACCGCACGGGCGGTCAAGACATATGGTCTTCATTAACAGGAATAAAGTACCTCCGGCCATGTGGCAGGAGTCAGTCTAGAGTGAGATCTCGTCTTGTGCAGTTCGCTGACAGCTCGGCTCACCCCGCTAGCCTCGGCACACCCTACATTTACAGAGGTATTGTTTGAATGTCTGTGTGTCGGTACAGTTGTATGACAACACATGGATGGGGAGAATTCCCTAACCACTGACCACAAAAGGTTAGACACAGGAAGTTAGATTCTAGAAAGGGAGGCCTGAAGCTGGAGTCTGTTGGTCTCGATCCAGTGAGAAAATATACATTAGATAACCTCAAACGGAGAAATTCACAATATTTTTTTCAATGAAGAAAACTAGAAATTAGACAAGATATCTGTGATTCCACTCCTCCAGAAAGTATGTAATGTTGACATAAAGTGCTGACAATTTCTGACATCTCATTAACACTAACAGTAATGTTACCTAGTAAACTATCACTACATGAAAAGAGCGCTGATGTTAGAATCCACAATGGTATGAGTGATGTCATATGAATAGCAGATGTGTTATTTTATATAATAAGAACATGTTAACTATGCTGTTCCAGTGTATGTGAAGAACACATCATGGAGGGTGCCCACTGTGACTCCTGCGGCATCTGTACAGACGAGGACTGTGTTCACGCTGCCAACAAACTCTTCCCCTGTAAGCGCCTGAGCCTTCCCGGACGTACCAGCATGGACCACGTGTGGGCGCGGGGGAACCTGCCGCTGTGCAGCGTGTGTTTCGTGTGCGGCGTGCAGTGCGGCGGGAACCCCAGCCTGTGTGATCGCAGGTGCATCTGGTGTCAAAGGACAGTACACGACTGTTGTGGTATGTTACGCTACAAACAGATCAAACGTTGCTCACATATAAGTGTTGAATACACTAGTTCTGTTAGTTCAATCATTAGTGACGCTGAAGAGGACTGGATCGTCTGGATGTCACTCAAAACGTCTGAAAGTAATCTCCATAATTTATCCAGTAGTACTAGTAGAGTTTGACTTGTGTATGTATGAGATCAAAATTTAGAAAACTTCATGTTCTAGACTATTGTTCATCATCATCAACATTGTAATGTCTAATAGATACAATAAGATTCTATGGACCCCTTGCAGCTACTTTTGGTACTGCAGCAGAAGCTTGGTACCTCATGTTCAGAATGTACTGTCAGTGCTCGAAATTCATTTTTGGAAAAAGGTGCACTGGTGCAAAATTGGGTGCATTGGTGCAGAAATGGGTGCACAAAATTGTTTCTGGGTGCACCATATAAAATAGAATAAGTACGATGTCAGCAAAAACTGCTTCATTTCTGAAGAAAGAATGAAAAAAAGATTTTTTTTTCATTTTCTGACACTTAGATGTGAAGAATATGCTGTATAGTAGTATACATAAACGTATGAAAATATTTGGATGCAATGGTGCACCCACAGAAAAAAATTGGGTGTACAGCTCCAATTTAGTGCACCCAGTATTTCGAGCCTTGTCGTCACTCTCTTTTGGCATGCAAATGTACACCTACACGGTTCTATCTCTATATTCCAGCTGTTGAAGACAACAGATGTGACTTTGGCCACTACAGAAGCATGATCATCCCTCCCTACAGCGTGGGGCTGCAGCTGGTGGGGATACGCGGCCGACGACACCTCAGCGTCTCCAAACTCCACCCGCCCGTCAGGATCTCCAACTGGAGCCCGCTCATCGTGTTCGCCAACCCCAGCAGCGGGAACAACATGGGGGAACACCTCCTGCGAGAGTTCAGGGAGGTTCTCAACCCCATTCAGGTGGGAAATAGGACAGCAATTCATAAAACCAGTCGGCCTGTTAACAATGTAAAACTCTTCCATACCATGGTAATGTTCAGTAAGGGAGTATGTACTTTTATTTAAGTCAAATTAGACTTTTTATTTAAGTTATTGATTAGACATGTAATTTGAACCCTACAGTGACCATGTTGGAGTACAGTAGCATGTTGGCATGTGTAACTGATGTACAATGTACCCCAACATGTACTCTGTCAGTCACTACCACCTGAAACATCTGACTGTTTTCAGAATCTATCCAGTTGCTTAAGTAACTGTTACCTTCAAGTTCGTATTTCATTACCTGCTTGATGTCTAACCTTCATTGATGTACTTCAACGTGTGTCTACATCTTCAACTCTTCAGTTCAGATGTTAACTTACAGCTTTATGTCTAATGTTTATGTAGGTAATAGATCTACACTCGCTGAGCCCTGCTGCTGGACTGGAGCTGTGTCGTCTCCTGCCCACCTACAAGTGTCGTCTGCTGGTGTGTGGAGGGGACGGGACAGTGGGGTGGGTCCTGGGAGCGTTAGACAGAGTCAAACTACAGGTAACTCACTAACACCAAGTACAGTAAGGGCATCATCAATAGATACCTGTAAACAGTGCTTAGAGTTAGATGTGCAAAGGCTAGGTGTAACAGCTCAAAGCAGCCTTGAGACGCATGCCTCCTGAAACTTAGTGATCTCTGACCTCCAGTCCAGTTTACTGGCTTTATTGTTTCGACATTGGACATGCTTTTGTTTTGATGCATTGGATTTTATTTGACTGTTGGCCACCTTTTGTTGCTTGGCTACATGTAATCATGTCTTGTCCTGTGTAAATATGCTGGGCTCCATTTGAAACCAGGTTCTACAAGCTGAATGGGCTACCCAGCTGTTTTATGATGAAATGAATGAAGTCGTTCTGTATAATACCTATAGCCAGCTGCCACTACACTATGTGCTTGCCAAGATGGTGTGTTATGCTGAGGGGCAGTAACTAATATACCGCCTATACTGATACATGTACATGTGTTATCCTCCCAGAACCAGCCACTGATTGGTGTTCTTCCCCTGGGTACGGGGAACGACCTGGCCAGGGTGCAGGGGTGGGGAGAGGGGTTTGTCGGGGAGAAGTCCCTGGATGAGATTCTGACAGACATCGCACATGCAGAGGTGACACCATTTGACAGGTCAGCTTTCTTTATTTTCTGTAAATTGTGAAACTTAAGGAGGGAAAGAGAGGTTTAAGATTCACAGTTCAATTGGTATGTAATGCCGTGGGGCTACATTACCAGTATTCTGCTGTATTTTATAGATGGACAGTCAGCATCATTCACCAGAGACACTTTGGTATAAGAAGACCTGCGAAGGTTTGTACAGCATGTTTAACATACATACTCAAGTTTGTTCCTCCTGATTTGTGTCATACAGTAGAAATACAGTAAATCTTGTATATTCTGGCTATAAGTACATAGTTGTAGTAACATACATTGGATAGCTAGCTGATAAAGGGATTGAATACGTCTGACTTGAAGACCTCTGTTGTATCAGGTACTTGCCATGAACAACTATTTCTCCATGGGTTGTGATGCTCTGGTGGCGCTCAACTTCCACCGCCAGCGTCAGACCAGACCTGAACTCTTCACAAGTAGACTCTTCAACAAGGTGAGATTTTCTTGACATGGCCTCAAAAATTACATTTGTGTGTTCTTGACATTCTCTCAGGTTAGGAAAAATAGCACAGAAATTTGATATAAATATAGAAACAAAGTCTGTTTCATGTTCCTCTTAACTTGTGTAGTCCAGCCGTTAGTGACCCTGCCTCTGAGGTTGGTAGTTAAAGTCCAAGCTGTTGTCACTCTCATTCAAGTTATTGGAAAGGGTTGCAGTCCTTAGGACGGGACGTTAAGTCATAGTCCACCATTCATGAACCTGTAAATAGTCATAGTCCACCATTCATGAACCTGTAAATATTGTACATAGTGTCTGTCTTCTCCATCATGACCAGTGGAAAAATAGCTGTTCACTGACAGTAAGCTAAAACTGAGATCACTAGCCTTTTCTCTCAGCCCTCTGTTTTTATCTTGACTTCTTGCTAAGAATGTTCCCAGAGAGTCCACATTTCACCTAACTTGTGTTCTGTTCCAGTTCTGGTACTTCAGCTATGGAGCTATTGATGTACTAGAGCAGGCCTGTGTGGATCTACATGAGAGGGTGAAGGTGAGAAGTACATGTACTGCACAGTACCAACATTTTATCTAATATACATTTCTGTATTGATGAACAAGTATCCTGCTAAACATTTTGTTATCATGAAACAGTTATCCTGAAACATGTTGTTTTAGCTTGTGTATTGATGAAGTTTTATTTTCTCCCCTAGCTTGAACTTGATGGTCGACCAGTGAACCTGCCAGAGTTGGAGGGGATTGTGGTGTTGAACATCAGTTCCTGGGCAGGGGGGTTCAACCTGTGGAGCGGTACAGGGGAGGAGGATGTCCCACCTGCCAGGTATGCTGCCAGTCATGCTGCCCTCTCATTGGTCTGTCACGAAGAAACTTACTCTATGCTGCCGTCTCATTGGTCTGTCACTAAGAAACTTGTTCTATGCTGTCATTTCATTGGTCCCTCACTAAAACACAGTTCTATGCTACTGTTTCATTGGTCCCTCACTAAGACACTTGTTCTATGCTGCTGTTTCATTGGTCCCACACAGTAAGACACTTGCTCTATGCAGATGTTTCTTGGTCCCTCTCAAAGGAACTTGTTTTAGAGCATGCAGGTTTGGTTCGTCATGTGTTTTCATGGAGTCATCATCTACAAGATGGCAAAAACACCAGTCTATTGTGATGGAGCCGAGGTGTTGTCAACATGATCAAGAAGTTAACATTTTGTTATTTGCCTAATACAATCAAATGATGTTTTTCCAATGGGGTGATCTGTTTTGTGCCCGACTCAGTTTCAATGATGGCATCCTGGAGGTTGTTGGTCTCCACTCGTCCTTTCACATGGGTCAGGTCAGGATAGCCATGGCTGACCCCATCAGGCTGGGACAGGCAAGGGTCGTCAAGGTCAGGACCAAGGTCACATTGTGGGAGGGTTCTCGTGCATATTTGTGTCTATTTGCTTGGAGTACTTTTACCCATAAGCAGTCACCACAAGAGTCAACATTTCAGTGACAGTAATTGTCAGATGGTCATCAAATGTCAGCTCTTGTTAAACAAGTGGTTGTGAATAAACTTTGCTATTCTTATCAAATTTCATCAATAATTTGTTTCTCTCACCTCATTCCCAGCTGACTCTCCAGAAAGGGACCAAGATGCCTGTGCAGGTTGATGGGGAACCCTGGGAGCAGGGCTCTGCTACAATCACCATATCCCTCAGGAACAGGGTGAACATGCTCAAGAAATCAGAGCATCACGAGTAGTGTTGTAATGCAGTGGACTCTGAATCCTCCTGTTACTAAGTGTTAGTAGTATAACAGGAGGTTTTGGTCTCATACATATGTGGAGGTCAGCTTTGTGGTGTGAGTGTACCTCAGAGAGGGGAAACGTTTTAGGGATTATAAAATCTCTATTCCCCTAACTTACCCACACATCCACAATACAGACTTTGTGCCATTGTCTTGAATACTAAAAAAAGTGAGCTGCCTTTTTTTTAAACATCGGTCAAACCTTTTTTTATGTCATACCTGGGCTGCAATAACGTTATATACGGCTTTTCTGGCCAGTGGGATAACTAGCTATATCACACAGGGTTCTATTTGGTTATCACATGGGCTTCAAAAGTTCTATAGAATGTTTTTAACACATTTGCCATGCACTGCATGTGCCACTTGAAACCATTTGAATGCCAGATTCAGATGTTGGAATTGATGAATTTTTTTGTTTTTGTTGCTCAATTTTTGGCACAGTCTAGTCAGACTGGAACCTCTTGTGATACGGAATACACCATGATGAATTCTCTATGAACTAACATTTGCTTATACTATCATACTTTTGTTGTAACTTGAAGCCTTGTTTTCATGAGTAAAGATGTATAGTGATGTCCGTAATGCTGAAAACATTCCTGATCTACAGAGAGACTATTTTGTGGTTTTGTAATGATATTTATTGATGTGCAATATGCACAAACAAAGACTAAAGAATTGGTGAGCTGAGTTCATATCCTGTGGAGAAGAGTTGTCCTTGTGCAAAACAAATGCATAATAAGTGTCTTAAATGTATTGAAGTGTCAAATATGGTAGCAAAATGCTTGTTGGGGACATGTTTGTGTATGTAACAATATGTTATTTTTTTCAATAAGTGGAATAAGATATTATGATGTAAGATTTTTAAGAACTCTATACCTATATCTATTCTTCTTGCGTTGTGACAAATATGTTGTAGGTGTCCACAGAAAAGTGTGTCACCAGCAATAGTATCATATTTTTTATGGTGGATTGTGCAAAGGTAAAGTGCAATATGTTGTAACTGTATTCCTTGCAATTGTATTATTTGAAATGTCAGAACATGAGTTGCACCGTGATGATATCCAATGCAGTACTGTATATTATGTGTGTACAGCTACTACAAGTACATGTACTAGTAAATCAATGAATGGTTATGTATTGTTGATGTCTGGTGTATTCAGAAGATTAGCATAATGTGTTTGTAGAAAATTCTCAATACCTACCTACTCAGGTGTAGCATGGCAGACTGGGCATTCAGGGTGTAGTTTTGAGTGGTGACGACAGGTGGCGCTGCTAGACCACTTATGTGGAGGATACTAGTACTCATGCAACTCACCTCCAACGACACAATTTTTCTCTCCGAGCGTTCTAGTTTCAATTTTATCGCGCTGCGTGAGCAGGCTTACAGTGAGATTAATCACTCACTCTCCTATTATTCCCCGTTTGTACACGTCGTTAAACAGCGCCATTTTTCTTCTTGTGAACTTGACCAGATGTTTCATTTGGAAAGTCCGACCGAACAGTAAGATTAATTTGCCTTTCAACGTAAAATGGGCTACGATCACTCAACTTCTTGTCTGAAAGCAGTTAACGTTCGTATAATAACCCATGTGTTGAAGCTATTAGCGGCCGGGGTCTATCTGTCCAGGGCACAGGACGATATTGATAGAATACATCTTTAAAAGAACGAGTTGGCCAGGTGCCGACATGGCGGAATAGGAAGCTTGTCACAGCAAAGGCCATATTTTTTTAAATTTCTAACATGACAATTAGAGAAATTTAGTCATTTAATAAACATTTTACAGTTCCTATGGTGTATTTTTACCCCCGAGAGGATTAAACAAAATGTTTCTGTACATATAGCCTCTATTACTATTAGAGTCCCTTGTTACGTTTTGATCTTACATTTATTTGTCGGCTGCACATTCCTTACAGTATTTAAAAAGTTTTATGGATGCAACCAGAAAACGTACGGTAAACCAAAATCGGCTGTTCACATGCCACGCGGTCCGTTTTTTGTTTTTCATCCGTTGCCTTGCAACTCCAAACATCCGTCGATACTTGCAAGAAAAGCAGCTATAAACGACGTCAGAAGTGAACCCAAACAACTTCTGCATCTGCTTGGAGACTACATCTGCACAAGGCGTTATGCTGTTGCCGTGCTACGAATCATGTTTTCATCTCAGGGGATGATGAAAAACACATGGTGGACCGCGGGTTACCGGACCCGAAGTTCAAGAGCACAGACGTGGCTACTTGTGGCTAAGACACGTGTCGGTCGGGTGGCCAACTTGCCGGAAAACGTCTCAAAATAATGTATATCACATTTGATAAAGTACCTAGCCGCTGGGCTTTTGCTTGAGCGAGGCGGCAGATTTCGAACATATATCTTCATTATTTCAGAGTATAAATTATGCAGTTAATACATTTTAGTGCCAAATAGTCTAACTGATAAAACAGATAAAGGTCACCATCGCGTTTCTTCAAACATTAGAGCCTGAACATTATCACTAAAAGTGATATTACAACTATGAAGCAGTAATTTTGCAAACGAATTTTTGTTGTTTTCTTGCAAACGAATAAGTTTTGTTGCTTTTGTTTGCAAGATGTCTTACTTTCTATCTAGAATACGGCAAATCGGTACTTTCTTGTACATCATCACATTATTTGAACTCATATGTATTTGGTCTTAACACCATAAAAATGTACACAAGCTAACAAACGACTTAGGCGCTCTCTACAGATGAGATGGGCCCTGCACTAGATGGGCCCTGAGCCAACCCCAGGAGAGCTTCCTTTGTCCTTCCTACAGTGATATGTAGTCCTACCTCACCCCTCAGGAATGCAGTGGGCCCAAAACTTTTACGTACAAATCTTCAGGCCTGGGAGACAATGGGCGATACCATATGTAGTGGTGTTTCCACCAGACGTTTGCTGGGCCCTGTAGATACATAGCCTCCCTAAGGGGGTAAACTTAAAGGATAGAAAGTTTGACAATACATGGTAAATGATTTGCTAGAGGAGCGGGCCCGGTAATATAACATTTCGCCTCGAAAATAAAACCCTATGCTAACCAAAATCCATTTACCAGTGAAAGGAGCCTTTCGGACACTAGGCCACACCTAAGCCGGGTTTACACGCAATATGTTAGTAGATACCTCAGGGCCTAATAGACTCCTCTAGTCTGATCCACAAATATGCCCTATTTCGAGCAATTGTCTATTTCTTCGATTTAGTCGTCCGTAAGAGGAGTACACTAGTATTAGCAATGAGGAAAACATGCACAGATGGTCAATAGGAAATAGCCGCTTTCCTCCACAGGGGAAAACACTACTAATTAACATCATTAGAAGTAATAAGGGCAGTCGTGTGGCAGAAACTGGACTTGACGTGTTGTTAATTATGTGGTTATCTCATACCTGACTAATACCTACTCCTACACGTGTTTACACACTGACTCGTCTTATCTCAGAGACATGACAGACGGGTACCATACACCGTGTGCTAGCGTTCAAATGCAGGAGATGATAAAAATGATGACTGACGGCTCATTTTTCTGTGATGTTCTGTCAGTCACACACATGGAAACTTTTACACTTGGATTCTGTGGTACGACTTGAGAAGGTGTCGACGTGGATAATATGGCTTCAAACGAAAAGAGGAGAGTAGATTTGGGTCATTTTTTTCGGTGGCACATTCCAAGGTCGGAATGTAGCTTGTTATCTTTGTGCTGACATTGAAAAGGTGAAAGGAAAATAAATACAGTCAGTATAGAACGCCACAGGAAAAAAAGAAATTGAAGATCTCATACCTCCGTGAAATATTAAGAGGTTTTGAGAATTTTTTTTATTCCATATTGTGAATTTCTTGATGGTGATGATGATGTGAATGATGATGAATTTGTGGATGATGATGCGAATTTCTTGCGGATTCTGTAACCCATTGTCTCCCATAGTGCAACAGACATGCACATAGCAGGCAATGGAAGACAGGAAATGAGATAACCTTTTCTGGGATATTTTCGAGACCTTTGACCTAAAGTTTCTGTCAGTGTCCCCGACGTGACCAACACTTGGAAAACAACAGAAAACTGCAGAAAAACTAGCAAATGCACAAAAAGACACATTGGAAACAAATCCTCCTATATGGAGGCAAAAAAATGCTGGGCAATTCTTACCACAGAGTGAACAAGGATCTCCAAAATACGTTTGAAAACTGGGTTTGTTGTATATGTATGTATGATATTGACACCTTATGTCTCGTTATACATCGTTGAGGTCTCGTGTACGACAGCCATAGCATTCTAGTACTCCCAAGTTTACACATATTGTTTCGATCTAAGTTAAAACACAAGTCTCAGACTATATTTTCTGGCGCAGTCAGGCATTCTGCAGATATCCGCCAATTCTCGGCTTCCGTCGGTATCCTTACATCAGATCACGGTCACTGAATGTCAGGGTCACGAGACTTTAGAACGTTCCTGTACCAACCCTAGGGTTATTCTTGGTCTGGAATCGGAATCGCGAAGCGCCATATGGCCTAAAACACGAGCTCTGTAGTTCATGTAGGCAAGTACAGATAACCTTGGGGACTGATATCATGATAGGTATTTGGCGGCAGCGTACTATACGGACTAACACGTCAGTGGGAGAGATATTGCTCTCCCTCAAGCCAACATAGGACAGCATACCGTGAAAGACTAGAGCCACTGCATGATATCAGCAGACACATTATACAGGGTCCGTAAGATTTTATTTAATATATGGATAAAAACGCTTGGCTTTACGGTGAACGAGTACAACGATTGCTACCTTGACCATGGATACCGGGGTTACATGCCATGTACTGGTTCAATATTCAAACAACCATGTACTAGGTAAAAGATGCATAAAACCGAGCCACAGAACCGAGTCGAAATCTGTTTGGATACCATACAACCTTGAACCCGCTAAGCACCGACGGAAGTCGCCCAATTTTACAAGGTTCCAAATCTGCTGAGTCAGACGGCTCAACTTGCCGCTGCCTCGTGCCTGAGACAAGCGCCCAGCCGGACAGGTGGAGCCCGTCAAACCGCTGCGTGGCACGGCTGGAGAGGCTGGGAGTGGACGGCAGGTTACTCAGTACTCCTCTTACCCATTTGTCGGTCGGCTGAACGAGGTCTCAATCATCTAGAAGTGTGTCTAAGACCCCGCTAATGGTAAAGATGCCATCTCAGACATTATCTCCGAAGGACACGGTCTGTTTTCTTGGTTAGGTCGCTACATGCAGCGGCATCCTCATGTGATTTGTAGGCGATACAGAATTTGTGTTTAATAAACTTAAAAGGGGAACCACGAGCGATCAAGTCAATCAGAGGTGAACTAAAAATATGTAGCTTCAGCACGCGTCGGACAGTGGTCTCTTTCTCACCCAAGGCAGTGGTCTATACGACTCACACAACTAGAACTGTATTTTGCCAAGTTGGAGCGGTGATCCCCATGTGAGCCTGCCAATGTAATGCAAGGGCGTCGTCGTTTATTTTATATTTTACACCGTGACATCACATAACGCCATACAAGTCATTCTCAAAGCATATACATTTGCACATGTACTTCTCGAAGTTCTTTGCTGACGGTTAGATATAGGACAAAAACAATATCTTTCCCAAAGAAACTTGATAAAAGTTAGATGCGCACCAATAAGTCAATAACTCATTGATTGCACAACAATAACTTTTAATATATGAAGACACTCGGTGCACGACGGACAGCTATCAAAACATTTCAGGAGAAAAATCGTCAGGTAGAGAGTCTTCTATGCCCGAGGCGTATTGTATGTTAATTAGACCAAGTGGATATGTGGCTGGATCACGTTACACAACACTCAGCGGGCTTCGTTGACATTTTCGCTCCACTGACCAAATATCTCAGCACGAGCTCAGGTGGAAAGGCATTTTCTTCTAAAATTGGTGCCGATTTTGCGTGAGAAGAGAAAATTTTCGTTGGAGTCCACTTAAACGAGGGAGATGAGTGAGTCTTGCGTGGAAATAAAAGTAAAAAGCACGTACAATTACATACCTCTGTGAAGTAAAAGAAGTCCCGAAAATCCGTAAAGAAAGCTTTATTGTTGGTAGATCTACTGAAACTCATTTGAAAATGGTTTCTAACAACAATAGCACATCATTTGGAACCCTACGGTGAATTCGCGTTTTTTTTTTTCATAAGGCCTTCTTTTTAGAGGGTTCTGAAATCTCCCATGATTAAGTACATCATTAGTGGCAGTGATTTTCCATCCAGCCTTGGTCACCTTGAAGGTCATAGGTCAGACGCCTGCTCATTGCGGGTGACGATAGAGACAAGCCGGGAAGGATTAGGACTTGTGGAGGATTAACAGAGGACCCGTATATCCTGGGGCTAGAGATTATACAAAACAAAAACAATGGA